ATTAAACAATTACATTTAAGGCAATAAGCCACGTTTCTAGCAACCAACACCACATAAATACATACATAACGAGAGATAAATTAAATAAAAAAAAATTAAAAAATTAAAAAAAAAGTTTTCTTAAGAAATGTGCTCATTGTATGATTGAATATTAAAATAAAAGCAAGAAGATACATGCATGCTTAGATGCAATTAAAATAAAGCTTTAAAAAATATGCCATCACAAGTTAATGATCAAGTTTCTTACTTACATATATATAATCCGGCTAGACTCCACATCGCAAACACCGCTCTCAGAAGATATTGCTCAAATGAACTTTTCAGTTTTGAAATTAGCGAAGCTACTTTAATCGACATAGTGAGTAACGCCAAGGAAACTATTTTATAGCCTATTTCCACCAAAGGCTTAACAGCAGTTAAGAGCTCAGAGAAGTTCAAATAATTCCAAGATGGGGTCATTGGCACAATTTTTATTATTAAGTTTTGTTTGTTTTTTTCCTTTCGTTTGCTTCTACTTAATAGGTGGAATTACCCCCATCGAGTTGTAATCTCCGTTTTTCAAACGGCATAAACTGCAGTGAAGGTTTGGTGGAAATCAACTATAACTGTACATTTACTCGTTAAAATTGAATGCGAGTTGGCCATTGTTTCACTTGATGCTGCAGCGAAAGCGATCTACATGTGTGAGATGCTTCGTGCATTTTCATACACTTCATCTTAGCTGTCAAGTTTTATCTGGCATAGCCTTAAAGGTTTCGTTACTCTAATCTCAAACGTCATCAATTTCCAAAGATATTCGACCACAAAATTAATGATCCAAAAATTCTCCGGAGGTTAATTGAGAAGTTTCATAACAAAATGTAATAATTTCACTAAAAATTTTTTTTACATAATTAAGGAAACTAATCACAGTCAAATAGATATCTATTTCTAAATAACGTCTATGGTATTTTAATGGTTGTATAGGATCATGCAAGGTATCCAAGGTATTAAAAAAATGTTGCATGCATATACATATGTAAATAGTTGAAAAAACTCTAACTTAACAAATGTACGGAGCGGTGCAACACAAAATTCTTGTAATTTAACACAAAAAAACTTCTTCATTGTCATTGATTTACTTGTCGCTATATGGAAATGTTGCGTTTTGCACTAAAATAAAATTTCAAAAATCATTTAAAACAAAATCAATGCATTACATATGGGTGGTTCACAAGGTGTCGTACTTGTCGTATTGTTGTATGTTGTAAAGTTTTCAACGGCTAAATAAATGTTTAGAGGAGTTGAAATCACCACCAACTATTTTTTAATTGTGTGAAATTTCATAATAAAACTTGTTAGCTTGCGAATTACTTAAATATAGTTTTAGCCGTTTAAAGTTTATGACATACAACAGTACGACAGTATACAACACCTTGTCAACTCCGTAATAGTTATTCTTGCAACTTATGTAGTTGAATATATAGACTATAATATGTTGTATCCGGCGTTATTATGGTGAGGAAAGATGTTCCTTGCAAAAATACTGTGGTCAGCGTAGCTGGAGCTGGACTTACGAGGGCTATTTTTTGATGGTAAAATTATATCGACGTCGACATCGACAAACATAACAGGGCCGCGTTATATCCCATCAAAAACCCCAAAAAAAAACCTACAAAGTGGAATTAATGTGTTTTGTTATGGAACTCTTGAATTTATATTGGTTTTTACTTTTTACAAACCATTATTTAAACCAAAATAACTTTCGACCAATATCTGGCTTTCTCTATTTGTTAGCGAATTATCCTTTGCATAAACATTTCTGAAATCTTCGAAGAATGATGCTCCTTGTGGGTCCCTAGCCACTTGTTTGTACATACACACATATGCATATATGTGCCTATGTTCATTAGGGCGTCCCGAAACATTTTTTTTTAGCGAAATTTAATATCCAACACACATCTGACCTATAGACTTACGAATTACTCCAATGATTTTCAGACCGAGATCTATGCAAAGTTGGTAAGCATGAAGCTAATTTATTCGGCTTTGCTGTGATTGAAGCCCTCAAACTTCTTACAGGCATATCAGCAGGAAACAGTCCACATAGCTGTCATGCTTTTATTTTTATGTATATGTGTTTACTAAGGGCCAGTTTTTCAGTGCCAGTTTAAACTTAGATTAAGTAAACTGAGTTTAAATTGAACAGCTGGCTGGCATTTGATTGGCTGATCTTAGTTTAAACCAGCCAGATCAGGCGTTTAAACTTAGTTTAAACCACGGCCGTGCACTGAAAAACTGGGCCTAGGGCTCGATATACATTTCAGCGTGGAGGAAACATGAGACCGTCAAATTTGTGTTTGTTTGTTGAATTCCCTGAACCGCCCCTGTTATGATATGGCACTTCATTCTATGTAGTACTTTACAAATATACACGTATACTTCTACAATCACAAAAATTTTCATAGGCTGTCTTTCTTTGATTTCGAATGGAAAACTCATTTCGATCATATTGTACTAGCAATATAGAAGTATTACATATCATGATAAAAACATAGCAAGGTAGAACCGTTCTCTCAATTTGTCGGCCATGATTTTTTTTTGAAGTTTGCCAACATTTTAAAATCATACAAAAGTGAAAATAAAAAATTGAAATTGTTCGAAATTGTTGTTGCTTGAGATTGAAAATGAAAATGTGTGTGTGAGTTTGTGAGTAAATTTAAAAATTAAAATGTTTGGAAACGTCAAGAATTTTAAAAGTGACTCTCAGCGGTTCTACCTTACTATAGTTTTATCATGTTACATATATACCGTAATCATAATCTCAAAAATATACTCAAAACAAGAAAAACAGATTAGGGGCACTTTTAATAACTCTAGAGATTTCGTGCATTTGTGTACTTATGTATGTACTAGGGCTGTGCGATTAATTGATTATTCAAAATTTTAATTAATCATAAAGTAAATAACTAAATTATTCGATTAAGTGGAAATTATGATTACCCAAAAGTTCAGTTACTCGAGTAACCAAGATTTTGATTAATCAAAAACAAAAATATATGAGTAATTTGCTTTAAGATTAATCAACATTGTGAGTAAAATGAGTAATCAACATTTCAAAGTACTGTTTACATATAAAGCAGATGAAGTTCCTTAATACTTTGAAAACAACGTTTCTGTTTACAAAAAATAATTTTTTCATGTACAGAATGTAAAAAAGAAAATAAGCATTTTCCAAAGAAAACTCATTTATCGAGCAAATTAATTTTTTTGAGTAATCATATATCAAGTAACTCGATTAATCATCGTTTTGAGTAATCAAAATCTTGATTAATCGAGTAATTGATTAACCGGAAAACTGATTAACCACCTTGGTCGAGTAATCGAATAATCGCACAGCCCTAGTATGTACTCATGAAAGGACATAAAATATTCAAATTTATATACAAAAATCATTTACTAACGATGGTTTTTGAAAAGACCATTCGTAAACGTGTTGTGCTTTTTCTAGATTTTTAAATCACATTAGTAGGTACAGGTAAAGAAGCTTAAATTACAACAATAATGGATGAAATGTTTGTAAATTCGTAATAAATACAAGACGTTTTTTTTCTGTTTATACAAATAAAACAAATTGCTTCAATGGGAATTAAAGAAGAAAAACAGTACTATACATACATATGTATATACATAGATGCGAGAATATAATTACCTTTTATACGTGCACTAATATAAATATAAATATGTATGTATTTACATTAATTTAGTTATTTACATACATATGTACATATATACACACGTATGTAGGTATATGCAAATAAGCTAGTATTCACACTTTTGATTATTTAGCAATTAATTATTAGATATTAGTAAACACATATACATAAATAATAAATATATGAACAAACAAATTGAAAATTATGTATACATATCGAGGGCTTATATTCAATAATACCATCTATCTGCACTTGTCACAAAAATGAGATTCTGATATAAAAATCCACCTTAACTGTCATCGGTGATATTAATGCTGACGTTGTTCAACGCTTGACAGAAGAATTTACTATTAAATTGCACAGGCAGAATTAACATCACTGATGACAGGAGGTAAGAACAGATGGGTTTCAATTTCAAGAAAGTAGTTTTTGTAAAAATTGCAGATATAGGGTATTGAATACAAGAAATAGTAAAAAGGAAATATCGAACCTTTTACTATTTCACTGAGGACTACCTTAGGCATTCGCTTCCAGGATTTGTTTAATATTTGATTGTTTAATATTTGTATGCAGATTTGTCAAGCTAGAACTGTTTTGTCAGCTGAGGGGATTTTTTTTTTCAAAAAATCCTTTATTTTTATTTGTAAAAAACTCAATTTTTGGTGGTATTTTCAAATCGGTCCACCTCACGCAAATCTTAATATCTCTCCCAAATATTTTGGTGCAAGTCTTAAAATATAATAGGTTTTATAATTCCAATGGAAAAAAAATAGTACCGATCTTTTTTTTTTTTTTTGGTATGGGGAGTGATGCAGTCTAATGTACAGTTTGTGTTTTGTTTTGTGAAGCTGTATGTACTATGTATGTATGTATCTTTGTGCGTGTCAATTTATACCCAGTTACTACATACAGCTCAATGTCAATTACATACTTAAGTAAATATAAGGGTACATTCACACAGAATGCCGAGTGGCAGGGAAGCAGGGAAGAGCGAAGCGGAGCTGCTGGTGTTCACAATAAACAAAGCGGAGCTTTTTGCATGGAATCGGCCGTTAAGATAGCAAAAAAGTGCCATTCAACAATGAAAGGCGGCAAAAATTGTTTCAATTGCTTTCTCGAAAAAATAGATTTTCGTTTATTTTGATTTTTTTTCCGTATCAGAGCCATGAAGCTGAAAAATCAAATATATAATTAAAAAACAAAAAATGCTTTAAGTTCCAATTCAGTTCAGTTCCAAAAGGAAAAGTGTGTTGTATGAACTTTTTCACGCTTTCTGTGTGAACGCACCCTAAAAGTCTTACCCAATTAGTCCTGATAACTCTTTTGCATTGGTTTACTCAACTTCTGCGACATAAATGGCTAAACAAGAATAAGGGAAATAAATAGTAATAATGACGCACGAACATTCGCTCCCATAGTAAAAATTAAAGCACAGATATATATGAATTTGCAAAACATGGAAGAAGAGGAGGGTGGTGGCCAGGTGCGAAGAAGATAAGCAATAAAACCTCCATTTTAAGCGCTTAGATAAGCACTAAAACATTGGTAAATGTGCCTGCAAATATGATCGCAAAACAACAAAATTTAAGGGCAGTTTGATGTTTTGTTTTTTATTCACTTTATTTCAAGGATTGAAAAATGGCAATGAACAATCAAGTGTTGCTTGATATACTCAAATAATAGAGATCTGTGCTGATCGTTTAAATTTTTTTTTAAATATTTGTTATTCTCCATCTGAGGTAAATTACCTTTAATCTCTTCACTAACACCAATCCTTCCCGTAGCAGCAGGGAGCTCAATAGATCCTTAGCTCGCAGTGCACACAATATATACTAAATATTGATGTATCTAAATCTATAGTCCTTCTGTAAAATAACATGTTTGGTCAGACATTCGTATGCGTGTATCTTACCAACTTGAAAACTGCATGCACATGCCAATTTTAATTTGCTTAGTGTTTCAACTGCTTTCTGTTTTTTTTTTGAAAATTTGCTTTATTAAATACTAACAGATGGACTTACTTTAGTCTAGGCGCATATTGTATTCTTATGTATTTGCATAGCTTGTATTCAACAAATTTTAAGTCGTAAAAAATATATGTATAAAGTTCTGCTGTGATGTATGTTATATAAAAGCAAATAAATATTACGAAATAGTGAATTCGTAAGACCCTTATCGTGTAGATGATTTCAAAATGTGAACATAATTACATAAATAACACGTATCTAAGAAAATACTATACATAAAAAAAAATTAATAGGATACATATTATAAACATTTATTGAAATTTGCGAAATGTACATTAAATTTGCCTCATAACGGGAAACTTTTTGCATAACATGTCTACGATCTTTGAAAAGGCATAAATGAACTAATCTATGTATGTAAACTTTGTATGTATGTATATCTATTTTGGTAGCATTTCAATAATTAAATTTCTATCACGAAAATATTCATATGATACAAAAAGATTCACTATGTATTATTTTTGTTAGAATTGAAATGAAAAATGTATGTGTTTGTCAAAAAGACAAAAACTAATAAAAAAATCAATGCTAGAATGTAAAATTTCACATTTTATTATTTACAAAACCCAGTCATAATGTCGGAAACAGTAAGTACATATACTTTAAAAACATATCATTCGTTGTCCGATTTTCTTATCAACGAATTCGGACAGTTACATACGTACGTACATAGCATATGTACATACATACTAGGGATGTTGCGAATATGGAATTTTAGACATCCGCGAATGTGAATGCGGATGCGGATGCGAATGTGGATGTCAAGTATTTTTAAGAAATAATTTAGGGAATAATAAGAATAATTTAGGTTATTTAGATCAATAAAAAATTGAAAATTTAGTAATTTTTAATAATGTTTTTTTAGTACTTGAATTTAACAATTGGAGCGTTGTATTTAATAAAAAGTAATGTTGCTACCTTTTCGGGTTACCTGTTTTTTAAGGCGTCGTAAATCAAACCTGCGCCACTAAATCGCACGATAATCGCATGCAAAAGTTGACTTGCTGTCTACTTTGAGGCAAGCGATTTTTTAATCTCCATTTACACGAGCGATTTTTCCAAAGCAATGTTGAATCGCCTCATGTAAATCCAGCATAAATAACTTCTAGCTCGAGGCAACAAACTTGAAAAACTTGAAGCTTGACAAAATTGTAAATTCATTTCGATTGACGATGCCCGAGTTGAGAGGGCGGGCTTTCAGCTATATTTATTTTTTTTTGTTGCGGTGCAATAATTCCTTTTTGAGAATTGCATCGGGTCTGCAAATGTCAGATGTAACCTCCTGATTTTCATATTCACAATCTAGCATCATGGCAAGATCGGTGTTTAAACCCTGTTGTTTTCCAAAAAAATTCTTCATTCTCATTCTTTTGGTTGTTTCAGAATTTGGAGAACCTGTTACGTCATCAGAGTTTTTCGATTTCAGTTTTTGTAATTCATTTTGAATCGCGACTGGTTCGAAAAATGTGCGCTTATAGCCAGGGCCGTCGAGAGAAAAATCCCTCGGACTGAAAAATCAAAGGCTCCTTACATAGATTGTATTAATTCAAAAGCATGTGATCATTTAACCTTTCTTTGAGATGAGAGAATAACAAGTACAAAAAATTTGACGGATACATCAAAATTCTATATGAAAAGAAATATTTTTATAAGCTCGGTCATCCCGCGCAAATCGTGGAAATTTCCAATTGATTTTAAACTGACTTCCCGACAAGTTGATTTTTTAGCAAGAAAATTTTGTCAAAACTGCACTAAAATGAATAAAATAAAATAAGTTAAGGTCTCGTTAAAGTTACTAAAAGCCATTTAGTGAAAGGAGTTATTCAAACTCTAATGAAAATTACTAACAATTTGTA